TCGTTTGTTCAGTTGTTGGACTTGAATTTTGTTGTCTCTTGTTCCTGGGAAGAGCCGTTTGGTGTTTAGATATTTCCCATTGAGTCTATTAATAACAAAAAGAATCCGAGATTGATTGTTGGCTGTTCTTGTGGTTTGATGATGATTGTTTGTAGGGATGGGCTTCATGTTCCAGTAACACCTAATTTGACTTGAACATGGGCCATTTGTGTGTTCGGTGAACACGCGAATAGTACAGGCATTCGGTGGGTTGTTTGCCAGCCTGCGTCCCACAATGCACTGTGTCCTAACATTGCATTGTGATTGGTCAAAGCAATGCATCTAACCACAGGTCAGGTGCAATGCTTTGACCATTCACAGTGTGTGATGATGTCACAAGGGGGTGGGGTGATCTCTCACTCCCTTGTGACATCAGGACAGTATATAAGAACTGTCATCATGGGCGCAGCTGTCAGACAGCCGTGAGCCAGCTTCACAAGTGGAGAATTTTTTCCCCCTTTTTTTGGGTAGCAGTGGGCATCATGATTGATGTTGGATCTACTTCAGGGGACATTTTTTTAAATTTTCATTTTTAATAAAGGACTTGTCAAAGACTGTCTCCTGTCATTTATTAACTACAACCTTTTTTTGTGAATGGGTAGCAGTACCATATACCGCCTACTCATTCACACAGTCAGGGGGGCCGGGATTTGGGGGCCCCCTTGTTAAAGCATGCTTCCAGATTCTGATAAGCCCCCCAGGCTTCAGACCTCCACAACCACAGGCCACGGTTGTGGGAAGAGGCCCTTGTCCCTATCAATATCTGGACAAGGTGCTTTGGGGGCTCCTGGCCCAAAGCACCCCCCCATGTTGAAGGCATGGTATGGATCAGGAGGGGGGCGCTCATCCCCCCCTAATTGACCTGCCAGGCTGCATGCTCTGATAAGAGTCTGGTATGGAGGGGTCCCCATCAAAATCCATACCAGTCTGAAGGGCTTGGTATGGATGGGAGGGGGGACCCCAAAGCTGTTTTTTTATTTTTAATTGTTGGGCAATGCTGACAATTCTTTTGACATTCAGCTGTCAGCAGGGAGCCCCACTGACACCAGGAACATGAATGAATGTCTCACTACTAAAATACACCGTGATTTCATCATAGAACTCATTTTAGTAACTGAGCGGGATCTTCATACTCAGATGCGGTAAGACACCTCTCAGTCCTTCGTGTTCGACATTCACTGTAGAACATTCTGTAGGTTCAGATGTTTGACCGCGACCTGAACAGGGGGGTGTTCGGCCATCACTATTTGTGGTCTCAGGATTAGTAGAGTTGTCTTGGCTATTGCTGGTCTTTGTCTTGTTACATTTCGGAAGCTGATTGGTCTCACCGGTCTGTTGTTCCTTGATGGGTACTTTGTATAAATCATCCTCTTTTGATTCTCTTTCCTGATTGTTGAGCTCCATTTGTATCTTGGTGTCATTATCTCTTCTCTCAGTTGAGGGTTTTCTTGTGTAATTGTTACATTTTAGACTGAATTTCTAGGATAGATCTGTGGGGGTATTTTTTGTGTTTTTAGCTCTTCTCTCAGCTTCTCATTTACATTTTCTCACTTGTCTTTGAAGTTTTTCTTTTAATTGAACAAAGTCTCTCCCTAGCTGAGATTAAGCTTGTAATTTTTGGATCCTTAGATGTACTTTCTGAACGAACCTGCAAATCGAATCCAAGCATTCTGGTTATCAACTCATACTCCCACCAGGCATGGATTGAGCAGGTGAACCCCATAATAATAATACATGAAAACCTAACTTCTCCTAGGAGACTTATGGCTCTCTGGCAGAACTGGCTGGATACTCCGGTACTCACTCCCCATACTTCATTTGTCATAGCTTTTTATAGGTTTAACTTTTTTAGGCCCCTAAAAATGGACCCGGCCAATTGTACCCTACTAAATGGTGACTACATTGGAGGCCGATACTTGGTGTATGATCCTGTAGACACAGGCCTACTTGAACGGAGTCAGCTATCTATGTATGTACTGGAGAGAGTTACTTGCCATGTACAGGTGAATTGTTCTACGTTGCTTCTTATTTCTCTTTTCATTTGTTTATAGAAAGTAAAAGTGACACCAGAGACAAAGCAAGTTATTGTTCTGTATGATCTGTAACATTGCCACAACTGCTTATACATTAGAATGTATGACTCCATTGTCTGGGCTGAATGTTGGATATACTGTGTGCACTTAAAAACTTAAAATAATACAATTTTGTTTAATTAAAAAAAATATTACATATATATATATATATATATTGTGTTGCGCTCCCAGTGAAAATATCTGTGATATGAATAACTCTATTTACCCTTGGTAAACAAATATATATAATCCGGTAATTGTGCAAGAAATATATGCAAAAAAATAAAAAAAATATATATATTATTAAAAAATCATATATATTTTCCACTAATATATATAATATCCCCAGAAACAATAAGTGATAAAATAAAACTATAACATAGCTATAAATAAACCAATTTGCATAATGATAGATATGTAAATATTTTGTATATAAATAACTTAAAAATATATATATAACTGCAAATTAATTAGTAGATATAAATGTCCTTTAAATTCAGTGACTTTTGTGCTTGATAACAAATCTTGATTTGAGGACTTATTTGAATCCATTCTCTCTTTGAAATCCATAATGTGTGAAAGATGTATGCTAAACCTCTTCTTAGCCTAAAAAATTAGGCTATATCAACTTGTGGATTCACCACCTATGGAACCTGCTTACAAATGGAATTCAGTCCTTTACAGATTGTGAAAACGGATAGCCCTCAATTAGACACATGTGGGGAAAAATTGGCAACGCAGCTTTATTGCTTTCCAACAGGTACACTCACATGAACAATATGCGGTATAGGAGAATTGCTCAGCTCAAGTGTAATCCGCCAGCCTTCTAGCCATGCACCCATGGTCTGTCGCAAACACTCCGGCTGGAGTGACACCGCAGCCCCACCCCTACGCGTTACGCCACGGTTGGCTTCAATCAGGGGGTTGTGATAGGTAGTGTTTGTTTGCACTATCACAACCCCCGAAGCCACGTGACCAGTGGCGTAACGCAATGGGGCTGGCTGCGGTTGTCACTCGGAGAGAGCCGGAGTGTTTGACAGACGGCGGGTGCATGGCTAGACGGCTGGCGGATTACTTGAGCTGAGCAATTCATCCTATACCGCATAATTGTTCATGTGAGTGTACCTGTTGGAAAGCAATAAAGCAGAAACCTTTTTACAAGGATAAAACACTATGTCTGCCAATTTTTCCCCACATATGGAAAAACGCATATGGGCTAATTGAGGATAACGGATATCCACGTTTTCACAATCTGTAAAAGGAGGAATTCCATCTAAGCAGGTTCCATAGGAGGTGAACCACAAGTGTGTATAGCCTAATTGCAGGCTAAGAAGGAGGTGAGCATACATCTTCACTAATTAAGGATTCAAAGAGAGTCACGGATTCACAATAAGTCACCAAATCAAGATTTAATCAAGCACAAAAGTCACTGAATTTAAAGGACATTTATATCACTAATTAATTTGCAGATCATATATATATATGATTTAAGTTATTTATATATTTTTTTGAATATTTACCAATCATGATGCATATTGATTTATTTATAGATATGTTATAGTACACATTATTTTATCACTTATTGTTTCTGGGGATATTATTTCCACATATATTAGTGGAAAATATATATGATTTTTTAATAATATATATATTTTTTATTTTTTGCATATATTTCTTGCACAATTACCGGATTATATATTTGTTTACCAAGGGTAAATAGAGTTATTTATATCACAGATATTTTCACTGGGAGCGCAACACAATATGAATTATTAACTTTAGGGACACAGAGGTAGTAGTGTGTTAAGTGTTTGAGATCCTATCAACATTTGGGACAGTATGTGTCCATTGTTTTGATGATCTTTGGGGGATTAACATTGGGTGGATATAAATTGGCTCGCAAGTCACACAGATATCTGCTAATATATATATATATATATATATATATATATATATATATATATATATATATACATATATAAACAAATGATGATGTAACATATGCTTTCTATATATATATAACACAGGTGTCAAATACCTGTATCCAGATCCTGCCCTTTAAGTTATTCCATGTAGCAGCCCCCTTGTACCTCTCCTGCAGGTACCCCCTTGTCTCCTCCCCCACCTTGTCTCAGCAGTCAGCAGCAGAGAGGAGAAAAGAACTCCTCTGCCAAATCCTGCACCTCTCAGTGCAGCTGCAGCATCCCCTCATCTCCGCCTCCCTTGGTCTCAGCATTCAGGAGACTCTGGTAATTGACTCCACTCCTCCTCTGGTCCTCCTCCAGACCCTGCACTTTCTGCTTTCCAGCTCTGCCTCCAAAGGAGGTGCACGGTGATGTTAGGGTGGGTGTGGGGTTCTTGACATCTGATGTTATTATGGGGGTGAGGTGCTCTGGACATCTAGTCTTACAATTACAACTGGCCCTTTGAGGACAACCATAATGCTGACACAGCCTGCGATGATATATAAGATATATTTATTAATGATCATTAAAAAATAAAAACCAACTTTAGCCCTTTATATAGAATTCTGATTTTTATTTTTTTTTTGTACAGGTGGATTGATGAACCACGTTTTTGGTCATGCTGGTCTTCGTGAATACAACTCAGTCACATGGGAAACCAAACATCTGGGTGTCTTAATTGACTGAAAGTTTTTATTGCAGTTCACTGGAGGAGTCACACAGGACACAAGTCATATCCGTGTTCTAAATGTCATAAGTGCTTTGGGTCCTCTTCAACACTGATCCAACCTCAGAGGACAACATGAGAAAAGTCATTTCAGTGTTCTGGAAGTGACAATTGCTTTACAGTAAAGTCCAACCCATGTATACATAAGAGGAGTCATTTCAAGCTATTTCTTGTTTGAAACGTGACAAAGATTTTACAATGGAGGCAAAACATATCGCACACCAGAAGGTTCACACTGGAGAGAAGCCATATCAGTGTTCTGAATGTGATAAAGCTTTTACATGGAAGTCACATCTTATCATACACCAGAGGATCCACACTGGAGAGAAGTCATATCAGTGTTCTGAATGTGAAAAAGCTTTTACACGGAAGTCAAGTCTTGTATCACACCAGAGGATCCACACTGGAGAGAAGCCATGTCAGTGTTCTGAGTGTGGCAAAGCTTTTGCACAGAAGTCAAATCTTATCATACACCAGAGGTTTCACACTGGAGAGAAGTCATATCAGTGTTCTGAATGTGACAAAGCTTTTACACAGAAATCAAGTCTTAACACACACCAGAGGATTCACACTGGAGAGAAGTCATATCAGTGTTCTGAATGTGACAAAGCTTTTGCACGTAAGTCATTTCTTATCAGGCACCAGAGGATTCACACTGGAGAGAAGCCATATCAATGTTCTGAATGTGACAAAGCTTTTACCCAGAAGTCAAATCTTATCAGACACCAGAGGATTCACACTGGAGAGAAGTCATATCAGTGTTCTGAATGTGACAAAGCTTTTTTAACCAAGAAAGAGCTTATCATACACCAGAGGGTTCACACTGAGAGAGAAGTCATATCAGTGTTCTGAATGTGACAAAGCTTTTACACATAAGTCAGATCTTATCAGACACCAGAGGATGCACACTGGAGACAAGTCATATCAGTGTCTGAATGTGACAAAGCTTTTACATGGAAGTCATATCTTATCACACACACCAGAGGATTCACACTGGAGAGAAGTCATATCAGTGTTCTGAATGTGATAAAGCTTTTACATGGAAGTCATATCTTATCACACACCAGAGGATTCACACTGGAGAGAAGTCATATCAGTGTTCTGAATGTGATAAAACTTTTACACAGAAGTCAAGTCTTAACACACACCAGAGGATTCACACTGGAGAGAAGTCATATCAGTGTTCTGAATGTGACAAATCTTTTGCACATAAGTCATATCTTATCAGACACCAGAGGATTCACACTGGAGAGAAGTCATATCAGTGTTCTGAATGTGATAAAACGTTTACACAGAAGTCAGTTTTCATAGCACACCAGAGGGTTCCACACTGTAGAGCAAGACATATCAGTGTTCTGAATGTGATAAAACTTTTAAACAAAGAGGAAACCTTGTCATACATGAGAGGGTTCATACTGGAGAGAAGCCATATTAATGTTCAGAATGT